TGGCATCGCGGACGAGCGTCTCTTGCCGCATCAAATCTCCTTTCGAACAGAGTACACGGTGAGGAAAAATATTGTACTAGACAACCGTAATCATTAAATACTAAAGAAAATTTAACGTAAGTGTTATTTCTAAACATTTTACTGCCATGTTTTTTAATTTTTATATTTTTACAGTCCATGTAATAGGTATTCTAATTTAATGAAAATAGATACGCGCAAAGAAACAAATAATTACCACGTATCTCAAAAAAAATTTTAACTGCGAGAAAGTATCTTCTAAAATACAAATACTCTTTTACTTTTTTAATCTTCTGCTTTTGCATACAACGTCGAAATTGATGTTTAAACAGAGCGTAAGCACTGATCAGCCGTTACGAGTTTCGGTATTTTTGTGTTGAGGCCATCGATAGTAAAAACTGATTGGAGGAACGGTGTGACGTTTGAAAATGTGACCGCGGTCTTTCGCAAGGTAAAATCTGGCTCAGCTGATCGACTCGAAGCACTTGTGGCGTACGTACGTATGTACGCGGTGTCTATTAATGGCTGCGCGATTAAAACGGGTGGTTACGCGAGCATGCCGAACGAAAATAGACGTGAAGCAAAACGTGCAAACCTATATCCCCCTCTGTCCTCTCTGTCTGCGTTTTCCCCTGCGAAACTGACGCAAACTGCGTCAGCGCGTGCCAATTACTGTGCTGCACGTCGGAATTACGTTTCATAACGTATGTATTCTGTATGTTTTCAATTTATCAACCAGGAAGGACGATATGTTTTTCGTTGCGAGAAAGAATAAACATGTGGACCTAGCCGAAAGAAAATAACCTGCGGTCTGTATGCACGTGCATTCTCTTTGTTGAATGTCATAATATCGTATAAATATTTTTATCTCTATAGGACAGCTATTATAGATCAGTTATATCTATAACGATATATCATTGAAAATGAATTAGTTTTACATTTAATCTTCGAGCTTTAGTTCTCGAGCAAAAATAGATTTTTTTAATTTAAAAAACATCCGGTAAAACATTTTCGAAAAGGAGATCACCTCGCCGCGTCTCGACAGATCGAGTCTATGACGCCTGAAGTGCAGATGTCGTATTACGAAATATTACATTGTTTTGAGGAAGGAGTGTTAGAGGTGTGTTAATGTACGAAAAAATAAATACATCAGTCATTTCCGATACGACGCGATGTGCGAGCTCGCGCTCGTAACGCGCCCGTGTTGACATGTATTCCTGGTGCTCGTTAAAGTCACGCAGCTCTATTTTTACATTTGACCAAGCGACCATCAGCCTTGTTCCGCTACATTTTCCAGTGTCTCTCCGGCGCGCTTCCGGTGGCAACCGTACCGATTAAATCGCAGCTGTCCGCTCGGCAATCCGCGAATTACGTAGTTTTTTTTACGCAATGACAGATCTCTCTGCGCGAAAAACTAGCTTTAAAACGATCGGCGCGCGCTTCGGCACTCTAGTTTTATCCGATTATCGGCACGGCTTGACGCTACTGAGCTTAATTAGCTGAAATCCGGTCGCTGCCCTCTGATTCGCTTGTGATTGTGCGCCATTGTCCTTGATATTCCGCCTGTCTTCATTAAGAGAAAGGATCTACGTGTTGTTTTCAGACAATTCCAGTCTCAAGCTAAATATTGTTTGAATCAACGCGTCATCCAATATAATGAATTTTGCCGGACTTTTCTTGGATACAGTAATGAAGTAAACTTTGTGATATTAAAAGTTGATTTTATATTGAGTCATTTGATTTTACGTTGGCGCATTAGCATGTCATGTTACGTTGACATGTAATTAAGCACATTCGTTTTACATAAAGGTTCCTTCAGACTGTATCTGCATTGCGCATAGTTTATCGGGATCTGATAACTTATTGACCAGAATATTTGCTGCATTTCACAATTTCGAGACGTTCGTCACGTACTCTAAACTTCTCTGATAGCTGGGGAAAGGGAATTGGAAACGGGGATGAAAAGTCTAAAGCGGAAACTCAGTGGTTTCGCATTAATAAAAGACCGGACAAACTTGGGTGAGGGAAAGGAGGATGCATGGCATAAGAGCGGAGAACTGATCCGGGTTTAACGAGCCTGTCCCTCTTCGGTTCCTCGAAATCGACGTCGCGAAAGTTTTATCCCTTCGTCGAAAGCCACTCTTCGGACTTCCGTATAGAGAAACCCGAGACTCTCAAGTCCGGAAAGACATCTCCGCACTGCCGCTTCTACCGTTGTATATCCGGTTTCAACGAAAAATTCGATTTGGGCTCCTTTCTTCGGAATCACCAGCATCGACAATGTTATTGCCAGGCATGGCAAATTTGTTACTCCTGTGTCAGGATAAATCGGAGATTAAGCAATCCCGGCAGAGGGGATGGGATGGGAGAAATTCGCTTTGATAGAATGCAGGTATGATGCGATAAGAAGCGAAGAACGCGGCAGAAAGCAATTTTAAATTTACGCGGATTACTTTGGCGAATAAAATTTGCGCAACTTTTTTATTTCTCTCGAGAAGTATATCCCATGTACTCCCCTTTATATTATAAATAATGTACCTGGTAAATAGCATAATAATCTTTTATGTTTTATACAAATCGGGATAATGATGTATTTTTTTGGAATTCATGAGAGTTCAAAGGAAATTATTTACCATTTGCAAATTTCTTTGCGCTTAAAAATTTCACGATGGATTGAGATCTCTTAAAGTAACGGTTTTTATTAAAAGATCGCCAAGAAGAAATTCTTTCCAGAGAATTAATAATCTAGAATCAACTAGTTTAATTAAAATAAACAATTATTTGTCTCAAAATAAGTACGTTGAGTTAATTACATTATTGTTTCTAATACGAAACTAAAACTAACATGCAATATTATGAATTTGTCATTGAAATAAATACAGTTCAATCGCATTGACACCTACCTAATTTGTATTAATATCTACGAATGAATTAAAATTATTATCAACACGGGCTATCAATTATCTGTCTCGTAAAACGCACAGTAAACGCTATTCATCGTTCGATCTATAATTCTTGCACTTTATTCGTTTACTTTTTAGTACTATTTCTTTTTCCACGCCTATAAAGAACCGGCTACCTATAATTCCGTAAACGAGTTCGTTTTACCATTAACTAACTTTACTCTCGAGCGAATTCGAGCGGTCTTTTTTCTCCGAGTTTTCAGGCAGTTTCTTTTTTTACAAACAGAATGTTTGCGCAACGATGCAACGAGCTAACTAGATACCTTTCAGATGGTAAAAAGGGTTTGAAAAGTAGGATGTCGCACGGCTATGGAAAACGGAAATAAAAGATATTCCCCGCGTATTGTAAAATATTACTGACAACATTCGCGAGCGTTGTATTTTTCCTTCAGCCTCATTATGCTCGAATAACTTCCTCGACGCATGTTGCATTTCGCATCAATTTACGCAAAGATAAAGCTATACAAAAAATTTTCTTTCCCTTTCTTGCCGATTATAAACCATCAAGTATGTAAGAAATCACTTATGGAGAAAATAATTAAAGCAATAATTTATCGATTCAAATTTATCTACCGAATTATCAAATTTATCTGTAAGAGCTCTTTTGACTTGTTTGGCTTCGTTGAAACTTCTCCAATTAATATAATGAGATGCTGCAGCGACTTCGTTCAATTTTAATCACGTATAAAATATAAATCATCTCTGCGTCAATTTTTACATTGATATTACTTTATAATCTCTTGCAAATTTGCTAAAATAGCACGTCAGCGAGCTCATTCCGATATCGAGGCTCACAATTACATGTTTGACGTGTTTTTAATTTTTCGCCGCGCATTATGATCGATGCGAGCTCGCGCGATGTTACTAATTCTATTATATTTCCAATATGGCCATAGTACCTCATAAGACTACATATTTCAACGTTCAAACTTGGAAGTTGTAATTGCAGTTCGTGGAAATTACTTGCAGTCATAAATATGACTTGCCAGAATGTAGCGAGTTGCGCCATATTAGCTATGCAGCATTTACCGGGTAAAACTTCGACCGATTATCACTGAGGATGAGAATTACTGTTCTCAAATTCACCACAAATCTTTCACAAAAGTCGTAAAATCTTTATTCTATCATACGTAGTGCATCTTGTTATTTACGAAAGGATGAATTATATTGGGAAAAAAATTTAATTATCTTATATCCATTCATTTTTTTACCATTTATATAAACGTACTTTATGAAAGTAAATACACTGAGAAAAAAAATTGGTAGAACGGACTAAATTTGTATGGTTGGTCGATCCAATGGTTGATTCAACAATGATAATGTTGCACTAAAAGAGATATAGTTCATTCATGTCAACCATAATCAAGAATTAACTAAACCAATTCAATCCAATTATTTTGTTCAAAATACTATTAGCATTTATTTGTTTTTGCATGACATTTAGTTACCTAGGTAATATATGTGTTTAAATACCAAGTATCAAACTGACTAAATGATACCGTAAGGATTGATAAATATTGTGTATTTTCAATGGAACGGTTCAGTTTGACACGACAAAATTTTTGTGTTAATTTTAATTTTTTAAAGTAACAAAAAGTTTTGTACATTTTCAAAAACTTTTTGATGGATAAACTAAGCGCGATAAAAAATTAAAGAAATTAATTGTTTGTTCAAATATCTAGGCTAAATAAAAACTTAGTTGATTGATACATAATTTAGTTAAAAATAAGTATTATTTTTCTTAATAAACAACTTAAGAGCATGATCAAATATCACATCATTATCGTATAACGTCAACTATTTTATATGTTTCCTTCAACTAAACGAAACTGCAACTCAATCGTTTGAATTTTGATTATTGCGGAAACTTTTTGATGGATGAACCAAGCGCGATAAAAAATTAAGTAAATTAATTGTTTATTAAAATTTGTAGGCTAAATAAAAATTTAGTTGATTGATACATAGTTTAGTTAAAAATAAATATTATTTTTCTTAATAAAAAACTAAAGAGCATGATTAAATATCACATTATTATTGTATAACATCAACTATTTTATATGTTTCCTTCAACTAAACGAAACTGCAGCTCAACCGTTTGAATTTTGTTAACATTTAATTACTGCGGAAACTTTGATGGATAAACCAAGCGCGATAAGAAATCAAATAAATTAATTGTTTATTAGGCTAAATAAAAACTTAGTTGATTGGTACATGATATTTAGTTGAAAATAAATATTATTTTTCTCAATAAACGACTAAAGAGCATGATTATAAATATCATTGATTATAAATATCACATCATTGTCATGTAACGTTAACTACTTGCATGATATGTGTTGAGAATCTAACGCTCGAAAAGTAAAAGCGAGCGTTGGGAATATTCGAGAACGCTCGATTTGCTCCAAAACGCGTTTATTTGCCTTCCCCCCGGGTTTTTTGGTGTTTTCGCTCGCGCCCGGACTACAGGTGTACATCGCGTGATCGCTCGTACTGCGACCAATAGTCTGGCCGCTCGACGATTTGGAGCCAATCAGCGTTTCTCACGTCTCGAAATTCCTCGCGGAAGTTTCGCGGAAATAAATATTATTTTTCTCAAACGACTAAAGAGCATGATTATAAATATCACATCATTGTCGTGTAACGTCAACTACTTGATATGTTTCCTTCAACTAAACGAAATTGCAGCTTAACCATTTGAATTTTGTTAAATTTTGATTACCGCGGAAACTATGGCTTGGTAACAGCGAGACAGAAAATCCCCCTCCGCTCCCACGATAGTCGATTGTCAGCCGAAGCCGCGCCGAGCTTACACGGACGCGGCGCTTCATAGTTGTGTGCGTATTGCAGGATCTTGCAGGCGCTTGCTGTCTACGCAGTGTCTACTGTTGCTAGAATTTACGATTTCTAATCGTTGCGAGTGGTCGCAAGAGAAACACGTCGTTTCTTTATTATTGTGATAAATTGTGTGAAGTGATAGAAAGATGACAAACATTATTCATTCATGGGGGATGGAAGATTCCGTGGAATCAAACATCATAAAAATATTGGAAGGTATGTATAACTTTTATTTAATTATTCAGCACTGTTTTTATATGTAATGTTTGTTCAAAACGTTATCTGTTTGTTAACCCTACGCGAAATGTAACAGACTTTGAAAATTGTAACTGTAGATCTTTTATTTCATTCATTAAGAATTAGTTAATTCAACTAATGTTTAGTTAAACGTATCGGACTAAATATTTTAGTCGGATGGAAAACACATTTTGCGTTTTTTTAACCAATTTTTTCTCAGATGTTTTCTTCTTTGTATAAAATATTTATACGTATATGTCAAAAAATATGTATGAATATATGTATGAAAAAATACGTTTGAATACATAGTATGACGTATAGTGCAAGCACCACTTTCTTGTCAGATTGAGATATCAAATAAATTGATAAAGTACATAAACTGATGCCGGTACGGACGTGCGTATATAAGTCTCGCGATGGTTTATAGCGACTTTAAGCTTGTGTTTTAAAAGTCGTAGAAAGAATTTACCCTTATTCTCTTATTACCTTTACTATTTAATTATAAAAATATGAATAAATACTTTTATCTTCCATTGTTGTAGTAAACATCGCGCGAGCATTGCAGTAAAATATATTTTCGACATTATGATTCTCTCTGCGTGCGTATTCTCAGACAATTTGTTGAAGGGAAAAGTTGAAAAATAAAATACTTTGTCAACAATAAAAAAACTTACTTATCTTAACGAAACTATCTTGCAATCAAATAAACATTTGATTCTGTCAACTAAATTTTTATTTTATTTATTGTACCACTAAAAAAATTGTTTCATCCAACTAAATATTTAGTTCGATACGTTCAACTAAATATATTACTACGATAAAACAAAATATTGTTTCCAAAACCGCATTTGTTTACAATAATAACAAATTATGAGGTTTGGAAACAATATTATGTTTGATCATAGTAATATGTTTAGTTGAACGTTTCGGACTAAATATTTAGTTGGATGAAACAATTTTTTTTCTGAGTGTAGTTTTCTTTAAATCTTTGAGGCGATGGAATTACATACGTTTCCAATTTTTAGAAAATGCAATTACTGACGCAAATTTGCCTGAACTTACCCCAGAACTTATCAAAGAAATGATACCTCAAATTGGAATAAGAATGGAATTCTTGAAGAAATGGACGACGGAATTTAAGACAGAGAAAATGCCTCATGTTAGTGCACATATTATACATATACATTGTGTGCCAAAAAAAAACAATTTTTATCTTGGTATTCTTGGAAAAGACAAATAATTTTTTTTGCTTTTACCACATATGGAAAAAGTCTTTTAAAAATTTTATCTCTCTAGCTCAATTTTTTAAATATTATATTAGCGGAGTGGGAGGGGGTCCTGTTCTCTATTTTAATTTCATCAAATTTAGCTGTAACAGGCGTTCTTGAAGGTGTTTAAAAAAAATTTGATTTTTGCTTGTGCAAATTTTGCAATGGTTAAATTTGATATGACTTGTAGAAATACCAGGATCGCCCTATGTACCGGCGATCCTGGCGGAAGTGAGCGGCCTGTGGGCCGTAACGGTTGCTGTTCGTTTCCAGAGTCGATATTGGGCAGACGTTCATAAGGTGCGATTTCATTGTCGCTAGAAACCAGCGGCAGCGTCAAGAAAATGTAGTGGGGGAAGAAGTTCTGTTGAATTTTGCGGTACGCTAAAAAGTTGAGACGGTCTGAACCTCTTCCCCCACTACATTTTCTTGACGCTGCCGCTGGTTTCTAGCGTCAATGAAATCGCACCTTTAGTTTGTGTGCGTGGAATCTTCACCTATGTGCGCGGTGTCATACATAAAAATTGTTTTTCTCGTGTTAATTAAATAAAAAATGGGACTCCTACATGTGCTATTTGAAAAATCGAGATAGAAAGATAAAATTTTAGGAAGATCTTTTGATGCCTAAAACTAACTTTTTCCATTATAAGAATTAAAAAAATAACTTTTTTAAACACATTCTAATATACATGGGTATCGAGAATCAAATCCTTCCGATTTTGAGAAATTACTTTTATTCTTGAGCAATATTTATCTTGTACTATATTGACCAGGTTTCGGATTCGAGTACAGAAGTATCTGAAGCAAGATCTGAAATGGCAGAAAATCTATCACAAAGTTCATCTGAGGACGCTTATAATTTAAAGAGACACAACACTTTTGCGGGAAAATTGACATATGCCTTAAGAACAAAAACTATCAATGTCAAAGAAATTCTATGCACGAACATCCAAGGAAAGGCGATTGTAAAATCTTATCAAAAACACAAGTCTTTGTCGCGACAATCTAGAATGCTAATTGTCGACATCATTCTGACAGAATTACTAAATGAAACCATCCAGTAATTTCATTTTACATTTTTTTATAACATGTATTTCCGTAATATATCAACATATGTTCATATATAATGTATGCATAATATATAGGTTCATTTTTGTTTATTTTATATTTTTAGTTTGAAAAATGCTGATTTTCTATACTTAGCAGAGGAAATAGTAAAACTTTTTCCTACCGAAGATACAAGCACATACTACATTCCACCAATTTCGAAAAAAATATCGCGAATTGGAAAATCTCTAATTTCACGTGGAAAATTAGTGGACAAATATCGGAACAAAACACGTGCCTTGAAACTCATTCATGAGTGGAAATCACCAGACGACCGTAGAACCGATAGTCCGGACTCATCCTCCGATGAAGGTAGCCTGTAGTTATATATTTTTTAAATATACATATGTATAAACTCAAAATTACATTCTACTTATTAAATTAATCGAATGTTTACATCCTAATTTCTGTATCATCTTACAGACGCTATTCTAGAAGCTAAAGCATGGCTGCAAAGTCATTCAATGCCATGGGAAATTGTTGTTACAAATTGGAAGTTGACGGCTGAATATCGACGAAAAAGTATAAAATCAAAACCGCAATTTGAAATTGTCTCAAATTTTTGAAAGCTGGCCTATTCTTAAACATCCAAATGCATATACATTAATTGAAGAGGATTACTCATGTCTAAAATTATCAACGCGAGAATTAACATTGGAAAGTTGGACAACTTTTTTTACAAAAGTTTTAGCTGTTCGGCCACCAAAAAAAGACGATGACGCTGCGAAAGCTTTTGTAGAGTTGATTCAATACGACGAGAAATTGACCGACAGTAAGTATATTTGCCTCTAAATAAATATACAACGTATTTACCTTGTGTAATTAATGTCATTTCATCAAACAGATGCAAAAGTTGTTGCGCAACTGAGACTTCTCCCACATCTACTTCCACCTAAAAACCGATTCCGTGTGAAAAAAAATCAGTGGAAACCATCGATACCTGAATGTAAAGATAGCCTAATTATTTCAACTACTGTAAGTATCATGATAATTAATATTCATCACATTCAAGTATACAATTACTGGCCTCTATATAGTACAATTTTTTGCAGTTAATAGCAGACATCACGAAAATACAAGAAGAAAAGAGACAAGCAGCCACAAATCTAGGGATTACATTGCAGCCTTTCATCATCGTTGTCGGCCCATCTAACACGGATATTTCTGATATTTTTATATCAGTTGATGACACCTTGTACAAGGTATTGTCAGTCCTAAAAGCTATAGATTTGTGCTTCAAAATTTTTCAAGTCTTTGACCTTGAATACCCGATAGAAAGCGCTCACATATGGTTATTATTTCAAAGAATTTTATATGGCTATGAAAATAGTTTGGATAAAATGACTCCGAATATAATGGAAACAATAAGCGATATAATGTCATTTAAAGATAAAAACACGTAATCACAGATGCAAACAATTTTTCCATTATTTTATTTCATTTTTTAATCAAAACAAATTGTTTATTGTTTCGTTCTAATTTTTAGTTTATTAGAATAATACTAAAAAGATCCTGTGAAAAAAAGTTTGGTTTCTTATTGTTTGGATTTATCATAGTTGATAAAATAATTCTCGACAGTCTGCAACAAAAAATTTTTATTTTGTGTGGTTTTGTTTCAATGTTTAGTTTTTTTTAAAGATACTGTAAAAAAAGCCTCCGTGCAAAAAAAGTTTTCTTTCTTATTGTTCCGTTACAACCTTTTCGTTCAAAAAGATAGTACCAAAAATGATTCCGTGCCCATTTTGCGAAACGAAACTTTTTTCCGAAACTTGTCTTACTAAACACGTAAAATTGCGCCATAAAACTTTAATATTATCAGCCTGCTACTGTCCCCATGAAAAATGTACAAGAAGTTTTAACAGTTTTTATTCGTATAAAAGACACTTTTTTTCAAGGCATTTTAGGTCGTTTGGCAATAAACCACGAATCGGTCTAAATAGAAATCCTGAAAATAATTTTTCAGAACTTGCAGAATTGGAAAGTTTGAGTTGTCCTAACCTTGTGCCCTCGAATACAATTATTCAATCTCAACAACCGGAATGTTCATTTCACGAGCCTGCAATTTTCAATATCGAAGCTTTTGAATATATAGTACAAACAGAAATCTTATCATTCGTTTCACAACTTTACTCGGAGTTGAGTCTCACACGATCGTTTGTTTCTACTTTGATTGATAAATTGAAGAATTTGTATGATTTAACTCTTATACCGATTTTGAAGCAAAAGTGTAATTCTGAAGATTATAAACAGGCCCTTTCAGATCTCACCAAGATGTTAACAATATTGCAACACGGTTTTGATAATTTTAAATCCGAACATCACAGTTTAAAATATTTTGAAAACGCAAATACTTTGATAAAACCACAGTCGCTCAAAATTCATGCATCGATAAGTTCTCGCTTTATCGGGGGAAAACGCAAAGCTGTTATTTCAAACATAGAAATCCAAGTGATATCGATAAAAAAGGTCCTAACAAAATTTTTAGAAATACCAAACGTTTTATCTTCAATTTTACAACATATTAAAGAATGCAAATCTAGTGAATCATTAATTTCAAATTTTCAAGGTGAATTATGGCAGAACATTGAATCTCAATTTGAGGAAAAAACCGTACTTCCATTGATATTTTATTTTGACGATGTTGAGATCAATAATCCTCTCGGTTCACATGCTAATATACGAAAACTCGGTGCCGTTTATTTTTCATTAGGATGTATCCCATATGAATTTAGTAGTATGTTGGAAAATATATTTCTTGCTCAACTTCACTATACGAAAGATCACAAGACCGCCGGTAACATGAAAATATTTCGTAATATTATCGATCAAATAACAGATCTCGAGAAACATGGGTTAATTGTAAATGTGGATGGTCAGCAACGAACGATTTATTTTTCTCTGTTAGCAATTATTGGTGATAATCTAGGTATGAATGAGATTTGTGGCTTCACAACAAGCTTTAACGCACAAAATGTGTGTAGAATATGTACAGCGAACAAAATTGAGAGCCGAAAACAAGTGAAAGAAAATACTCAAATGCTACGGACTGAACAAAATTATCTGAAAGACTGTGAAAACTGCTCTACGGGAGTGAAAAGTAAATGCGTTTTTAATGAAATCCCGAAATTTCATGTTATACTAAATGCAAGTCTTGATCCTATGCATGATTTTTTCGAAGGAATATGTAGATATGAAATGGGTAAAATCTTGAATATTTTTATAAATAGAGAACATTTTTTTTCCCTTGAAATTTTTAATGCCCGCTTGCAGCATTTTGATTGTGGTCGAAACTTTGGAAAAAACATACCAATCTCAATATCTAGCAACGCTCTTACTGCAGAAAATCTAATCATTTCAGCGTCAGAAATGGTTTTTTTAGTTGAACATCTTGGTATTCTGATCGGCGATCTGGTGCCCGTAAATAATAGCGTTTGGGAAGTTTTCCTCGTATTGCGACAAATTATAAATATCGTAATGAATTCATCATTTACCTCTGCAACAATTCAACTCCTTGAAACTTTAATATCGGAACATCATTCGCTGTATATGGAAGTTTTTGCGGAGCCACTAAAACCTAAACATCATTTCATCGTACATTATCCCCGATTATTGAGAAGATTAGGACCACTCAAACATTTATCTTGTTTTCGTTTCGAAGCAAAGCACAAGCAATTCAAGGAGAATGCGAAGGCAATAAGATCCCGCAGAAATTGCCCGTACACTTTGGCACTAAAACATCAACTTATTCTGTCACACAGATTTCTTAGTAAAAAAGGATTTTCTGACCGATTAAGTTTAGGGCCTACACTACGTCAAGAATTAACTGATCTGCCTGATTATCTTGATTTCAAAAATACACTTCCATGTAACATCCAATACGAATATGTACTCGACACTTGGTTAAAAGTGAATGGCATTACTTATTACAAAGATATGGCTATAGCTATGTATATGAAAGATAATACTATTATTTATGGCGAAATTCATTACATGACTATTAATAATATGCGCCAAATATCATTTATATGTACAGAATTTCATACCAAAACTGTTAACAGGCATTACTGTGCATTTGAAGTAATTAAGAAATCTGTTTGGAGATTTATTAGGCTACAAGATTTATTCTCTTATGTTCCGCAAAATGTTCACATGATGAGCGATGGTAATTTATATATTTTATGCGAATAGGTATAAATGTACCTTAATTTAGAAAAACACACTTTTTGTCTTTAAAACTGTATTCAATATATTATATAATTAATAAATAAAAATATTTTTATGTATAAATCGTTTACATCTTTATACTGGACTTTTAGTTCTTCCAACACATAGTTTTAAGGCTCCTTACTCGTCTCTTCTATCCTTGTTTGATGACGTCATTCAACTGATGACGTTCTACACTTATATGGTTAGAAGAACCTACAATTTCGTAGGATAATAGAATAATTTTGTTGCAGCAATATTAAGGCTCCTAGGTACTCGCCTCTTCTATCCCTGTTTGATGACGCCAGAAGTGAGAAATGAGTGGAAATGACACGTTGAGCATTCTAGCACTTTATTTTCAAATAAAAAAACATTTGCACAAAATAACACTACAGATCATTTCAGCACAGTTTAAAAATATTCCGACTGCATCCTTTTCCCTCGACAGTTAAATAAA